AATTTAAAGACCAATTTAAAGTTCAGCTGCAGTTGACCATGACTTGTCAACTCATGAGGAATGCATGCGAGTAATGGTAGGTGTATTTGTACTTACTGAAACTGGGAACGTAGGTCTCTGGACTCAGCTTTCTAGATAGGGGAAGGAAATCCTCACTGGCCACCTAGACAGTAGACAGAACAGCATTATCCAACAATAGAGGATGAAGTTCAAATAACTAAAGGAAAGCTATTCTTAAACAAACAGGAGTCCAAGTGTAATTCCATCCACTTGTCTGAACAAAGGGATGCAGCATATACTGTCCAGCTCAGACAAGAGACACTGGCATTTAGTTGGAGCCCAGGCTACTGTAAACAGACTTAACTAAATATACATGAAGCCTCTCGTGAAACTCTATCTGCCGACCCTTGAAATCATAGTCAGAGATGAACAAATCAAGTAGAGACAGAAGGATGACAGATTTGACATCAGCCTCAGACACAGAGTGTGTGGTTATTCCCACTGCCTAAAACCTGATCAGCATTGTGCAGCACTTAGTGTGATTGCAATCAACACTAGAGCAGAAAACAAGCCATGTTCTACAAGAATAACCCTGTGATATTACCGATTATGTTTCAAACCCCCTTCAGTAAGTGTGCTGTGTGGTAATGGGGTTGCTGGGAAACAGACACTCCTGTAAACATAAGGTTTTTCAGATAGAGGCTCTGAGCTGGATAATCGTTTCCAGAACAAAATATGGTCAATTAATGCAACAAAGCCACTCAACTAAACCAATAGACGGTATTAGAATAATAGAGTGTGTTTCACAAATCATTCTAGTTTGTTAGCCAATACAAATAATACATATTTAACATTAAAGTGGTAGAATAACCTCGATTTTTTTCTCAAGATGTTCGATCATCCTCTTGGCAGCAGCAGTGTCACATTGCAGGAAAATGAGTCACCCATTGTATCACTTCCAAGAATAGTCTCAGTGAGATTGTACCTCCCTCGGTTCATAATGATTTGAGAGCCATATATTAAAAAATACCATATAACCTATTGTTACACTGCCAACAGATACAGACTTATTCATAATCATTTAAAACCGAAAAACCTCTGATCGAGAATAATAAGCCGTCTAGAGAATATGCAATCATGGAAACAAGCAGAGGTTGATTGAAGTGAAAGCTGCAGAGCTCATTGTAGAAATATATAACTATATTTCTGCTGCACCCAATCCATACTGCATCATGAGGGGATTAACTAAATTCAGGTTTTTCTCCCCAAACTCTCTGTGAGAAGATTGGCACCTCTAAGGTTTATTTTTGGATTGCGGTTTATGGATGTGACGCAGCTTGTTAAAAAAACAAGTGTGCAATTCTGACAGTAAACAATCGCTCAAAAGCTTCTGGAGATTCATTTTTACCGTGGATTAGCTTCATCGTTCCTCTGTTAACTGAGCAAAAAAGAAAAAGCATGCACACAAAATATCCACTCCTCCCATGCTCTTTGTGATGGCTGTACTTGTTGACTGATTGGGATAATACAAACATAACTGCCTGGTCACTGAAATTCTCTGTATTTTCAAAGTTAATGTGAAAAGCACTTTGGTGCTTTGGCAGTTACCAAATGACTGATTAAGCCCTACTTGCTTTGGATTTCAAAGAGTGGAATGAGAGGCTGAACTCAGCTTGTTAAGTCAATAGGTGCTTCATTAATGTCAATCAATGGTAACCAAAAGAACACAATTTCGATCGGTTTTCTGGGTAAATTAACCTTCAATATACCAGAATATCAATTAAAACTGTTTTCATTTAACATAAATCAGAGTCAGTGCAATCATATGCTAAATCTGGTACTGTTTCCAGGTGGTTTGATTATCACAAGAGATAATAAGTGAGAATATTGTCTACACAGTAACGATGGAACCCACCTTTTCAGAGCACTTTCCATTTAAATGCTGGCCCGTCCGACTCGATGAGAAGCCCGACATCTCCCAGGGTAGTTTGTTCTTCCCTTTTCCCGCGCTGACAATCCTTCTTTGAAGAGGAAGGTCATCAGTAAGGGATCCTAAGCTACCATAGCCATACAATCGCTCACAGTCTGGTTCAGTTCTGTGGCTCCTGGCACTGCTTATCCGCCCTCCGTTCATCACCCAGTCCAGATCGGCCCCAGAACCATGCTGCAGGGTGCACCGGTGTCCTGGTTTGGGGACCACCAAGCCATATTCCACTATCCCCTCTGAGGAGAGTTTAGGAAGGACGTGCCTTGCTCGTCTTGCCTGTACAGCTGCCATAAGACCCTCTGCATCCTCATTGAGTTCCACCATGTCCACAGCTTTCATTAGAGGCTGTTTTTTCCCTGTGTCAAGGCAATAGTCAAAAATGGCAAACAGCTCAAGGGCGGCGTGGCGGACCTTCCTCTTGTTGTCTGCCAGATATGGTGCAATCTCAAAACAAAGCTTGGGGATGTTGAAATCTTTTCTAGGATGAGTGAGCATAGCTGCCATGATGATGTTAAGGACATCTTCCCGTACCCTTGAATTATTTTGTTTCAAGTTGCAAATCACAAGATCTAACACTTGTTGTGGTGCAACAGTTCTAATCAGCTGTCGGAAAACATTCATGTATTCACTTCTTGTGATGGTGCGAGTGTCCCCTAGGGTGTTCAGAGCCACTAAGACTATCTGCTTGAAATATCTGTCTACACCTGTATCTAGCTTCTGAATAAGTAAGTTTAAAACTTGTAATGTGCCATACAACACTTTAAAATTACTGTCATCCAGAAGCCGAGGGAGGAAATTAATGAACTCCAAAATACTGCCGGATGGGACTGATTCTATGTCCACTTCGGACAGGATCTGTTTAAGCTCTTCCACCCCATTTGTGCGATTTTGGTAATTCTTCAGGTCCAGAAGCAGCTCATGTAACTCCTGGGAGATCAATCCAGCTATCATTATTGATGGTCTTATGGTTTCTGTCAAAATTGAGAATCCAAAGAAGCAAACACAAGCCCGAGAGCGAGAGGACAATAATATCCCTCCTCTTTAATTCGGGATTTCATCCTGAGGTGTCGTTGGTGATGGAAACCACCCTCCTGGTTATCAAGCTGTGAATGTAAAACATACAAAAACGCATGATCGATTCAATTTCCATTTACTCAAGAGTGTTATGAGGAAAAAAATGGCTATTAATGTTATTGAACATGTTACACAACCACATACATGTACAGATTTTAATTGACATAGTGTTTCCTCTACATTATGATCATGGACTACCCTTACGTTAGAATAGAGAGAATGGATACAACAACCACTTGTGGCTCTCATGCACGGTAGTCATCAACAGAAAGGTTAGATAACATTAACTGCTACATAATAACATTACTCCCTGTTATTCTAACATGAGTTAATAAAATGCGTGTCAATGGGAGTCTTAGCCAGTTATACAATACTAATGCGTCCAATGGTTTTATAATCAATCCCTGACTAAGTTACACCGTTACCGTTAAGCAGCCTACATGAGTTAGCTAACGTTCCCAAGAACCTTGGCTAACGATAACTGCAACACTCAAACGGTGCTAAGCTAACTGCGCTAGTGTGGTGGGTGGTTAGTGCTGGCTGACTGAGCTAGCAAAGTTATGAAAACAGCAGGAAAACAGACCTCGCATTTCTCCTGATCCTCCGCCCGACGAGTCTATCTAATGTTACGTCGTCCAAATGTCCATGTCAGGCTGCGGCGGCTACGGTTCTCCTAAGTGCAGACATTTTCCGTGGATGTTTCAGCTGGTATGTCTGGAGTGTTGAATGTTTGAAAGCTACGGAGGTATTCACACAGAGAGGAGCCCACACACACACACAACACACACAACACACACACCGAGGAGGCAAAATGGCGAATACATGTCGCAAACTGAGCGCTTCCATGGTGACGCGAGTTCCATGGTTCCAAGCTCCTCAGGCTCCAGGCGGTTCATCTGCACAGAGCAGCGGCGTGGGCTCCACAGGCAAACAGAGTGGAAACACTCAGATGTAACAGGAGGACAAACTATGTCCTTTTAACTAGTTTTGAACTCCACATATATCTATAGAACTATGATATTAATATTACCCGCCCCTCTTGTTAGTGTGCTGTTTTATGAAATATGTTTGTATATGAAATTGTGTGTATATATGGTTGTATTTGTAAATGCTGCTTCTGTTTAGTTCTTAACTGTGCCCATGTACTCAAACTAAAATAATTTTCTTTTTGCTATTCATGTATGATATATGAGGAAAGAAAAAATACTTTATTATTATTTTTGTCTGAGCTGACTGAAATGTAGCAGTTTGTTTCAAATATGTATTTGTGTATGGATATTTGCAATTGCCCAGAGCTTTAGCAATACTGGTCATGCTAATAAAGATATTGAATTGAAAATTGATAAGGCTGAACCCTTATTTTATTACAGCTACCTTTAGTATATTAAATATGTTGTACAATAACATTTACGTTTACAATTATGTTAAGTTAGTCACACTGACTAGTGGTTTTCTTTCGCTCCGTTTTTTTACATGTTTATAATCTTAATTTAAGTGTATTCGATTGGGGTTCAAAATACAATAATAACAATGAAACAGTTAAAGGTATAGTATAGTATATGTAATTAATTACTGTATGCTTTATATTTAACTTAAAGTCTTTATACTCTGCATGCATATGTCAGTATAGAAAAAACAATGTATTACCTATCCTGTTATGCATTTGTCATAAACTGTTAATGATAGGTTGTACTACCATAACATACACCTTTTTATCTAATCATTTGTGTGTGGTATAAGAACATTCATGTGTGTAAGTGTGTTTTCTCGTTATCATAACGGTCTAGAATAATGTTAACATTTCTTTATAAAAAGTTGTAAAGTTTACTATCGTTATAACACATTGGCTTGTAGCTTTTCCTTGACTGTGAGTGTCGTTTTATTTTGAAAACACCGGAAGTGGGAGTGCTGCTCTGACAGCTCGTTATTATAAGAGCTCATCTGTAGCTCGGTAGCTAGGTTGGCAGTAGGTTGTTTTTTATAGCCGCCTGGGCTTCCCACTCATCGCTGCTGAACTCCGCCACTACAAAATCGGTCATTACAGCGGCACACAGACGGACTATAGGTTACAGGTTTGTTTGGCTTGCTTTGACATTATACTTTGACAGCTACCTGGCTATAACGTCACGTTTTGTATCTGTCAGCCATGTTACTGTATATCTATCAAATGATTCAGCTAACCACAGTAACCGTGTTTATTTTTAGCAGCTAACCTGCGCCGACTGCAGTGCAATGGCACATATATAGGCGCTGTGTATTTGCTTGAGTCGATCATTGTTGACGATACGATGGTGACATCGAGGTTTATGTTAATGTATGGAAAATATGCGGGGGAATATATTTCTGTTTCTGTTGGTTATTTTTTTTTACAGAGTGTAAGCTAGCGCACTAGCTGTCTTCTACTGTAAAGCTAAGAGGTAACGTTAGCTAGCGAGTTTTGATGTGGCCATGTCCTCCGTTCAGAAATCAAGCCAAGGCCCCAGTCAACAAAATATAACGGTTACTGTTACAGTGTCTGAACAACATAAAGCTTAAATGCACAGCAGCATTAATGCGGTTGGCTTGAGGTTAACCACAAACGGTATGCTTATTGCTTATTAACCAGTACGGTTAGTTCACTTTAAGTAGCGTTAGCACTGGATTAAGAAGATCATGCTTATTTAGCTTGCCTCACAGTGCACTGCTATGCGTGCAGGTTGTATTACATACTGTACAACAAATATCTTAATGCATCATTCTGTTTTTCCTCAACGCTTGCTGTAATTACGTCATGTTGAACAGGACTTTTCAGGCTTGTAGTTGCAGGGACAAGATAATGGTTAATTTACATGATGATTTACAGTATGTCCATTGGCTGGTGGTCACATGTCAGTTAATCAGAATATTCCACTGCATCACTAGCCTTCACAAAATGTCAACAATGCACTGATATGTGGATTCCTGCTCTCAGATGGACCAGCAGGACCAGTCCTATATGTTTGCCAGTCTGAAACGGCCTCACTCCGAGCAGCTGCTGCAAGGCCTCCAGCTCTTGCGGCAGGATCACGAACTATGTGACATTGTCCTGCGTGTGGGTGATGCCAAGATCCATGCCCACAAAGTAGTGCTGGCCAGCATCAGCCCTTACTTCAAGGCCATGTTCACAGGTAACCTGTCAGAAAAGGAGACCTCTGAGGTGGATTTTCAGTGCATCGATGAGACTGCCTTGCAGGTATGCTTGGACACAGCACACACACACCATATAAACTGCACTGATTCACTGCTGTACTGCTTTTATTTTGTATGTGACACCTTTACTCTTTATTTTCTAGGCCATTGTCGAGTATGCCTACACTGGCACTGTGTTTATCTCCCAGGAAACGGTGGAATCTCTGCTACCGGCTGCCGACTTACTCCAGGTTAAGCTTGTACTTAAGGAGTGCTGCTCCTTCTTAGAGAGCCAGCTGGATGCTGGGAACTGTATAGGCATCTCCCGCTTTGCAGAGACGTATGGCTGTCATGACCTGTGCCTGGCTGCAACTAAGTTCATCTGTGAGAACTTTGAGGAAGTTTGTTTGACAGAGGAGTTTTTCGAACTGACGAGGGCCGAGTTAGATGAAATCGTGTCCAATGACTGCCTTAAGGTGGTCACAGAGGAGACTGTGTTTTACGCCCTGGAGTCGTGGATCAAATATGATGTAACTGAGAGACAGCAGCATCTATCCCAGCTCCTGCACTGTGTTCGCCTTCCACTCCTCAGCGTCAAATTTCTCACTCGCCTATATGAAGCCAACCACCTTATACGAGATGACCACGCATGCAAGCACCTGCTCAACGAGGCCCTTAAATATCATTTTATGCCCGAACACCGGCTTTCCTATCAGACTGTGTTGTCGGCGCAGCCCCGGTGTGCCCCCAAGGTTCTGCTTGCAGTAGGAGGCAAGGCGGGATTGTTTGCAACATTAGAAAGGTAATAATAATCATTTTATGATCTATTGACAACTTTCCAAATTCTGAATGATTTCTTGCTTTTTTGTTTTGTGTATTTAAAAACAAAATACAAACTAACCAGATGACATTAATCTATCTCTTGCAGCATAGAAATGTATTTCCCTCAGACAGATTCTTGGATAGAACTGGCCCCTCTCAGTGGACCCCGATATGAATTTGGAGTGGCAGTGCTGGACCACAAGGTGTACGTGGTGGGAGGAATCGCGACACACATGAGACAGGGCATTAGCTATCGGAGGCACGAGAGCACAGTGGAGAGCTGGGACCCCGAGAGCAACACCTGGTCCTCGGTGGAGCGCATGGCTGAGTGCCGCAGCACACTGGGGGTGGTGGTGCTGGCGGGCGAGCTGTATGCCCTCGGAGGCTACGACGGCCAGTACTACCTCCAGTCGGTGGAGAAATATGTCCCCAAGTTGAAGGAGTGGCAGCCTGTGGCACCCATGACCAAGTCCCGAAGCTGCTTTGCCACAGCAGTGCTGGATGGCATGGTGTATGCTATCGGAGGCTATGGCCCGGCCCATATGAATAGGTAAAACCACTGAGAATTGAACTCTATGTACCTGTGAATATGTACTCTATGTTATGAGATGTCAAACACAAGGAATAGTTTGTAATCTAATTACTCTAGCTGACCTGTGAACTTGTATGAGAGATTTTAGTCTGTGTTAATTGTGAAAAGCTAAATATTTGATCCCTGTAATTGGACACCAGCGGGTTAAATGGGCATGTGTATTAAGATGAATAATTATCTTTAGATGACCTAATGTAGAAAAAGGCCTAATTAATGCCATCTCTCAGTCATTTATATGATATTTAGCACATCTCTTTCTCACCCCTTTCAAATGTAACTTCTTTCATTGAAGTTTCTGTATGATAAAAACACTGCAGAAAGCCACAAAGGGTCAAAATATGCACCTAATCTTGCTTTGCTCCTACAGATGACATTTGTCATTAGCAATCGAAGTTTGTGGTGCTCTACCACATCCTATCTATCTTTTTAAAATAGTCTTTAATCTCAGTGAAAACCTTGTTGCCCTTTTCAGACCTCCCAACCAGCTCTCTCCCTCAAAGTCTTGTTATTTATTACATATAACTGGTAATCAAGTGAAGGATGTCGAGTGTTGCTGAGAAAATGTCCAGGATCTTGTTAATGAGTGAACAGAAGTGGTTGCTGAAGTTTCATGGAGATGGTGCCGACTGTGTGCTGCTGGTTAGACCTCTGTTGTTGCCGTGGATCTCTCGAGAGCAGCGCCTCTGTTGCTCGTTTCCTTGACTCCTGAAACCCCTCAGGAGAATGTGTTTGGATGGAAAATCTTTGGGGACAATTCTTTTTTCTTTCCACAATGGCTAATGTCTTTACATACTGCAAAACAATCCCTGATTGCTAGCGTTCCAGGTACTGTCAGGGAATTTTTTTGTCCAAGTTGATGACTTACCACTGCCATTAGTTGCCCTCTTGATAGTTGCATCATGTGTGGGATCACAGATCAGACTTATACTGTTCTCTTATAAATGTGCAATTAACAATCAAATATGACTACCTATTGGTCCAATTAATTTTATAGACAAATTAACTATATACTTAACAATAACTAAGTATTGCCAATTTTCCAAATAACTCCTCAGTTTATTTATTAACTATTGTTCCACTTGTGTCTTTTTTATAATGTCAAAAATGTCTGGGGCTCTGTCGGGGGATTGCATATTGATGGAAGATGACATCAGTTTGGACTTTTCAAACCATTGAGTGACTCTGCTGCCTCTTGTTCACACAGCGTGGAGCGGTATGACACCAGCAAGGATGCCTGGGAAATGGTAGCCCCCATGGCAGACAAGAGGATCAACTTCGGAGTGGGCGTCATGCTGGGCTTCATATTTGTGGTGGGCGGACACAACGGAGTGTCACACCTGTCTAGCATTGAGCGGTTTGATCCCCATCAGAACCAGTGGACAGCCTGTCGGCCAATGAATGAACCTCGCACTGGTGAGTTTACATTACAATGGTATAACTGAACTGTTTGTGTGATTTTTGCAAATTTGGTTTTGTTGACTCCTATTGGCATTATCTTAAGAGACTGCATGTAAAGACATAAAGGGAATGTTTAAACATTTATTTTTCCTCTAACCTCTAGTGCAACCTTTTTTGGTGTGAGTTAGCGGCTGTTGGAGATACTAGAATTGTCAGTCTGTGGTGTAGCCCCAAATTGCTATTACATGCGTTTTTTTAAAACAATAACTTAACAGCGTTGTCTTTTGCAGATATCATGACCTGGCGCTTATGACAATTCACTCGTGCAAGCTTCCGTTTTTACATTGATATGATATTCCCGTATGATTTGGTAGAAAAAACAAGTTCCTACATGAAAATGCTCACAACTAGTTATGTGGATTATCTTAAATAACATTGAGTTGATGACTTTTGGAAAAAGACATTGCTGTAGAGTTTTTCAAATAGTATTTTTGGGCACTTAATGTGCCTCAGGAGTGTCATACACTTCCATTGTTTTGGAGAGATGGCTGATATTTGGATGAACTCTTACTTTTTTTTATTTATAGTAAATTGGATCTCATCAGTACATGCAGACTATCATTTTAACCAAGATAATTGCATCCAGACAATGGTGGGACATTCCTGTAATTAACTTCATATGACTGACATTGTCTTGCAGGTGTGGGCTCTGCCATTGTGGACAACTACCTCTATGTGGTGGGCGGTCACTCCGGGTCTTCTTACCTGAATACTGTCCAGCGCTACGACCCCATCTCGGACAGCTGGTTGGACTCGAGCGGCATGATGTATTGCCGCTGCAACTTTGGTCTGACTGCCCTTTGACCCATGGCCCAGCCAGCTAGGACCCCATAAGAGAACTTAGACACAAAGACGTTTCTTTTTTGTTGTCTCCTCCTCCCCCACATTCATCCTCCAGGTGCAGAGGAGCGCTGCACACCACCGAGAACGCCGGAGGAGAGAGAGAGAGCCTGCTGGGTGGATGGATGTGCCGGGGCTAGCTGGCTGGCTAGATGGAGACCACAGACATGGCTGCAGAGATGGAGAAGAGCTGCGGAACAGAGAGGAAGATGATGGGACGCCTGTTGTCACGGGCACAAGGAGACGACCGCTCTACTGCTGCTGGACCACAATGAGGACTCCGAGCCATTTCCCAGAGGATTGTGGGAGAAAACTTGTCACTTTTAGTTGTTTTCTGTTATGTTAGCAGACATTTATTTGTTCTCCTTCATGCCATCAATTGTGTTTAATACTTAGATTTTTTTTTCTATTAATTTCCCCGCTGCAACTGGAAGCACGGGTTCAGATTTTGTAGAACACCAGTTTGCTGGTGTATTTGTTTGAGTATGTGGTTGTTGGCCATGTAGTGTGTGTGTGTGTGTGTGTGTGTGTGTCTGTGTGTATGCTTGAGGGGTACATGCATGTCAGATAGGGTTGTTTTGTTACGTGTCCGGGTGCAGAGCTGAAGCTCGGGCTCAGCGACCCAGGAGTTCTGCATCAAAATCAGTGCTTCACAAAAAAGAGAAAAGTTGGAATCTTTATATTTTCAAAAAGGGCTGCCTTACTCTCTTGTAAATAGTCTAAATAAAATATATAGATATGAATATATCCTTTAGTGCATTGCCTGTAAATGTTTTTCTGCACTGGGTCACTGTGTGTGTGTGTGTAGTTTGATTCCCAGGGTCATTGTAGAGGTGAGTGACAGATTCTCCTGAGAGAGTTTGTCGCCAGTTTCTGCTTCATCCTCGGAGCCATTTGAATCCCCCATGTTCTATCTTCTGTTACATCTTCCTAAGGTCAGGTCATGCACTTGCTCCTCCTCACAATTGTTGAAATCGACCTTAGCCCTCCTTTCACCCTTTGGTCTGTACACAATACCAACTGGTGCTATATTTAGGATTCAGGATTCAGCTGTTTGTCTGTGTTGCCTCACACAAGTAGGTCAACCTACTTCAGCCTCTGCTACATTACTATGGAAGATGTTACTCATTTGATTTTTTTGCATTTAATAGTTGAATGGCCCTCAACCATGCAATAAAATAAAGCCCTACTCTGCGGTTGGAAAACTGCAAACTTCTGTCCACATAAATATCTAAAAGGTTAGAAATCTAGCACTTTGTTTGGATGGATTCTGTTATTTTATTTATCCTAATCGACATTTCCCTTCCCCACATCCTCCCTGTTTCTGGATATGAGCATGCTTTGCCATTGTCTCGATCCCCTGATTGGCTCCAACACTTGCTCTTTTCACTTACAAACTGAGTGAAATGTGATCCCCATCTTGCTCAGGTTTGAGATAATCCATTCGCAGCTTCATGTGAAGTGCCAAAAAATGACTTCTTTTTTTTTTTGCTCCTTCCCACCTTGTGTGCCACAATTTGGAACATTCTATTCTCGTCCTTATTGCTAATGTATTAGTAATGCACCAAGGGCTGTGCCAGCCAACTCAGGCCATGTTCCCTCTGTCCCCAGTCCTGGGTGTTGGGAGTGCTCCACTGGGTGTTTGACTTCCAGACTGGCTGAGGGTGTCACTATTGTGCCGCCTTTGAGGGGGTGGCTAGGCTAACAGAGAGGTCAAGCAACGCACAGCAATAGAGGGAGCGCTAGGCTAGGAAATGCTAGGTGAGGTGTGTGTTATGTTGAGTCACTTAATGTTCAAGACGTGTAGTTTGAGTCTCTGTGTGTGCGCTGATGTCTGCACACAGGTGAAACTATAACGGAGCTCTGCATTGCACTTACCAAACTATTTGATACATATTGTAATTTGTGTATATATGTTTAATTTAGGATAACGGCATTTAGATAATGCAATAAGACTTCTGTTCTCTCTGTGGATGAATAGCGTTTTTGTTTTTGTCTCTGTAAAAAGCCAAGGCATCTCATATTGCTGTAACAGAACCCCACATGGCATGTCTGTTGAATCACTGTGGACGTCTGATGGAACATCAAACGGTACCTTTGCCTCATCCCACCAGACACCCTGTGTTGTCATTTTGTAGTGCATGCTGGATCATTTGTACAAGACATGTTTATCGAGGCAGATTCAGATTGATTGTGTCATTAATTGTAATGAATGGCCTAATTTAAATTGTATTTTTCTTTTTTAAATCAGCTGTTCTCATCACAAACGTCTTGTAAATGTTAGACGGGACATGTGCTCTTCTATTTGTACTCTAAACGATGTTTGTGAAATGACTAGGGAAAGAATTACTACAGATGAGATCTATGTGTCTTGCAATATTGTCATCTTGTTGAGTGTAGAGTACTGTCTTTACGATTTCTGCTTTATTTTTGAAAGAGTCATGAATAAGCAACCTAAGGATATTCTGCAAAATGTTACTTTAGAAAGATGTGAATGACTTATTTAGTATTTATTATAATTTTTGTATGTTCTGTAACCTGATTTGTTTGCTAATTCTGTGTATTGTACTAGATTGTTAGTTGCTTAACAGCCAAAGCACAAATCACGCAGGCGTAATTATGTGCTGCAGCCATGACTCATCCAGCACCAATGTTATGTACAGTGTCATGATTTGAGGTGTATATTAATTACTTATTTCGGAGGGACGATGATGAAAATATCTGCAAACGTGAATCTGCAAAAAGAAGGGATGTTGAAATTGAGTTTGCATTTTCATTATGGCCTAACCAATGTCATGTGTTTGCCACCACTCTCACCAAAGTGCTTGTTCAAAGAAAGCAGATGGATGACTAACACCTCTGGTCTGCAATGGACTGCCACTCTGTTTGTGTCTGAAAGAAAAACCCTTTGAAACTGATGTCAATGTTAGCCAAAAGACCACTCTGCTTCTTTTACATTTCCACCCCCCCCCCCCCTCCTTCCATTGTGTGTCTGGAGTAAGGTGATGATCTTGAATTTTATATCCTGTGGATTAATACTGGAAGTACAAGATAACCTTAGGCGTAGAAACCGTAGCTTTTTACATTTGATCATGTTTTGATTGAAGACATTTTACATACATTTTAGTCAGTTTGTGTGGTGCAGTTGTACCCAGTTTAAAATAAATGCCTGCCTTAAAAGGTACCGTCTGCTTTTATGTGGCTCTTCTTGTTATACACATCCAACAAAAATAATCCAATACAAGTGTACTCCAAAATATTTTTATTCTGCATAGAAAGAAAATTGGCTAATCAATGCCTGATGCATCACTTCCAGAACTTTCTTTGGCAGAGGCACTGTGTAATGCCAAGTATTCCTTAAAGAGGCCCTATTATGCTTCTTTCCTGTAGTGTGTTATCCTTTGTTTACCTTGTAACATAGTGACATCACAAATGTGAGCAGACTGGGCTCTGGTTTCAAACAGAGGGTGAAAAGAGGTGCTGCAGTATGAGAACAATAAAGACCTTTTTGTACATTAAAGCATGTACAGATGCCACAATAGAGGCACAAAATACAAATATGAAGCTGAAAATGAGGATAATAGGGCTCCTTTAAGGTTTTTTAAACGTGTAAATATGCATGTTTCCTTTGTTGTAGTGACAGAAAAAAGATACTTCAGACTGCCCTCATCCTTCATACATAAATGAAGATATTTGTATTTTAACACTCACTCATTGCATGGAATGCCTGCCTCCAATTTAAGACATCTTTAAAAAAAAGAGTAAACCTGGACAGGGACAATAGCCTTGTTTGGTTGGTTTTTATCCTCAGACCATGGTGTAAATAGAAAAAGGCACCAGCAAAATTGTCAACTTGCAATTTTGATAGAAATTAGATATACATTAACTGTCGTCCCCTATTGCTATACAATAGCAACTGCACCCTCAGAGTGTAATCCATTAACCATGGCGTTTTTTTAACACATCAATCTCCCTCGTTTGTCGGGTAACTGAATACGTATTACTCACTGCTACTGTCATTTAGGCATATCAACCCAGAACTATTATAGTCCATTATATTCTTGGATACCAAGCATGCCCAAAAGAAATTTAGCAAATTAAGATTTCTGCAAGCAGTCAGCTCAAATGAAGGAAGCTGACAGGAATGACTAAAAAAAGAACTAATAAAACGTATAAAACATATTTGTAGGAAGTTTGTGTGATAAGTTCACTTGTCGGAGGAGCGGATGTAGACCAGAGAGGAGAGCAGCAGGAGCTCAGGGGGCCGGTGCAGCAGGATGAGGTTGTCGCTCCTCAGACCGTCGTAGTGCATCCAGCAGCCGTCTATCTGGAAGGCTGCGGAGTAGTGATGCTCCTCCTTGTTGAAGAGTGTGGCGCCCTCTAGTAAGTACCTGTGGAGAAATAATAGTTCTTCAATTAAAAAATAATTCTTTATGATGTTCAGGATAGGCAAAGAAAGAGCATACTATTTGTGAGGAAAATATACTTGAGAGAAAAAGTTGTAGAAGAAGAACTAGATACTTTATTTTGCAAAACAAATCTTGTGTCTTTAAATTCAGAAATATTTCTTAAAGGTCCCCTATTATACTGTTTTTCATCAATATATTATAGGTCTCAGATATATACAAAACATGTCTCTGAAGTGTTTGGCTCAATATACCAAACAGATCATGCATTGCAGCATCCCATAATCCCCTCTGTTTCAGCCCCGTTTCAAAAGTGCTGATTCTCTGTCTGTTACTTTAGATGAAAAATAAGGAAGCCCCTCCCCACGCCCCTCTGAGAGATATTTGGTTAAAAAGAACACAATCAATGGTGCTCTAGGAGGAGAATCAGGTGATAAGGTGGTGGGGGGGGGGGTTACCTTGGTTGGTGATTGGCTAATGGTTACACAAGCCAAAAAAACGTTATGACATCATAAAGTGGCCAAAATCTGATCAGCTCATTTTCAGACAGGTTTTTATATAAATGGATCAGGACAAAAGGTGAGGGAATCTTTGTTCCTGAAACTTTCAGAATCTCTCTACATAGAGGATGAAAAAGTGAATCTACATGAAAAAGTGGATTTTGCATAATAGGTGACCTTTAATAAATGTGCTATCATCTCATGATCCGATGTGGAGAATGCTTTGGTACAGCACTGTATACCAAGCCAATTAAAAACAAATGTTAAACTTGCTAATTATCGGTTGAGCTTTAAATTTGCCAGTTTTTTTATTCTGACAATTGGGAAATATTTTTTTTTAATAATCCTTCTTCTTTAGTACCCATGCAGCTCCTTACCTGTGCTGGCAGAGAGCTAGATGGTATGGCACATAGGACAGCTCCTCTGACTTCCACTGCTGCATGTTGAGAATGACAAAGGGTGGGGGTCCATGGCAGAAAACCCTCTGAGAGAACTCCCTCAGTCCATCACACCTAAATAAAAGACATTTGTTAAGGAAGGGAGATAATAGTTGAGTGAAGTAGAAGATGATAAAAACTAGGGCTGTGCGATTATGGCAAAAATCATAATTACGATTATTTTGGTCAATAATTGATTTCACGATTATTAAATACGATTATTCATTGACTTTGAAAACATCCATTTATTGAACTTTAAAACAAATACAAATAATAATTTGAACAGTATCTTTTTAACTGTTGATTACCCTGAACATATAATTCAACTGAAAAACCAATACAAAAATAAATAAAATATATGATACATTTAAATAAATAATATCAAAATAATAAATACCAATAAACAAGATCAACAAATATTTTGGAGCGCACTTCAACAAGCTACTAAACATATATAAATATGATAAATAAAAATAAATTAGATCAAATATGTTGCCGTGCACTGTCACAACCTAGCAAAGCAAAATAATAGTTTTTTTCGATTATGTTGTTTTCGTAATTGTGGCAGGCCATAATCGTAATTGGGATTAATTGCACAGCCCAAACAAAACCCTCCCTGTGTCTCACCCCAGTTCTGAGCAGAGCAGGAGTTTGGGGCAGAAGAACTCGTCCACGGCCGACTGGATGGGGTCTCTGTGAGGAAGCTCATGAGGAGGGCTGGAGGAAAAATATCACAAATAGAGTTCCTGTCAATAACACACCATTGATCAACTTAAAATACTCTCATACCAAGACAATTCAGATGAATTGCATGAATATATGGATTAACATACACTTAAACAGGTGGAATTTAGTTTAGTATGTCAGGGGGTGAACATTCATCTTATTTAAGTATGAATCTCTGCTGCAGTTGACCTAAGCCATTAGTACTATTTGAAGTGTTGACAAGGACCTCTGGGACAAAGTCCAGAGACATTTGATATTTTAAGCATTTGCTACAGAGTATGACTAGATAAAGACAGCTGTTGGTGCACACTTGATCTACGTCCTGAGAAGTAGTGGAAGAAGTGTTCACATCTTTAACTTATTTGTTCCTTTTTAAGTGTTTTAAAATGTTGGATATCTGAATTAATAGTACTGCTGCATTAAAGTGTTGCATTTTATTGACTTTTCTGTTTATGGTTTTGTTCATTTTAACTCCTTTTCGTACTGTTGTGTATTTTAATCTACATTAATGCATTGTATTCTATAAGATCATCAAATGTTTGTAGCATCACTGTCCTCCTGTCAAGAGCCATACATCTCTAAAAAATACATGTTTTCATGAGTTATTGAGGAAAACAATGATGCTTTGTAACAATGCATTTCACAGCTGATCCTATTAAAATAGTTTATTCAGCTCAAGAAGTATCTTATCAAGTAAGATCATTTCTCAACACATTAAGCAAAACGTTATCCTTCAGTTTATCAAAAGAGTGAACATCAACACTGTTTTCACTGCACAGGAAGGGGATGGAACATTTTGCATGCCTTTGAGTGAAACGTACAATATGTGTCACTTACATGTAGTGGAGTATATAGAGCAGAAAATGCAAACACTCCAGTAAAGTAAAGGTTGCTTGGATTTTACTCAACTACAGTACATTTCTGGTCCATGATTCTCTAAGAAGTAGCATCCAGTTCCCTGTGTAACATCCAGATAATATGACCCCTGTGTGCAGTGTACCTGATGTTGATGGTCACCTTGATGAACTCCTGGAAGCGGCTGGGGCAGCTCCAGTTGGTGCACAGGCTCTCCTGCATGGTGGACATGAGGTTCTCCAGGTTCTCTGTGAAGTTCTCGTGCTCATTCCCAAACAGGTCAATCTCCAGTGCTGCCTGGTGCACCTGAGAGCGGTACTGTCTTTTAGACATCCTGTCAAAGATCCACAGCACTTTCACTGTGGTGTAGTCACAGGAGTCCATCAGGTTGAGGAAGTACTCCACAAACTGCTTGCCCAGGAACACAGCCAGCTCCCTGGGAAAGCCCTCGTTGTCCCGCAGGATCACATACAGGATCACGAGGAAGCCATCGATGGTGCAGGTGTTTTTGAGGTTGATTTTGACGTACAGAGGGGTGCAGGATATAGCCTTTCGCCCTGCTTTAATAGTAAAGACGCCCCCCCAAGGCAGCACAGGCCTCCAGAAGGAGCGATCCTCTTCCTCATTGTTGTTGATGGAGGCACGGATTTCCTCAAACAGTGTCTTAGACCTAAAGAGACAAATGCATAGCAGAGGATTATAGGTGTTTAGTTTGTTGCACATATGGGTTTGGACTGGATAATGTTATAATACGGCGGCAATACTACCAAGTAAGTCTATGTAAACATACCTAAGTCAGCTGGAAATGACAAAACAAGCAACGCAATGTCAAGTAATAGACACAACCCCAAAAGCATGCTAGCTTAAAACATTAGCAGCTGCTATCTATTTACCTTTCGAAGTGGAGATTGTTCTCAGTGTTTGTTATTAGCGTTTGGAAGTCTTCGGTATCGCTCAAAACACAGTATCTACTCTCCATAGCTCTCGGTATTTCTTCATGTCTTAAATCGGACTGAAGCAAGCTATCAAAGTATAGTTTGTTCTAGCACTTTCTGGTGGTTATCCGAGTGACGACGCCCTGGCAAGGATCAAAACAATCCCGATGAAAGGTCAAGTTGGGCAAATACAAACACTGCTGTGTTTTTAACGGATATCAAAGCGATGTGTTAATACAGTGCTGCCCTCTGCTGGTTCTCAGCGTTATTACATTCTGTGTAGTCCCGCCCATCACCACACGCCCTTAAAAACTGGAAATCCTATTGGTTGTTAGGTTCTACTAACATGTTATACTGGGCATGCAATTGGCTGTGAGAGTTGACACTTTGTCAATGGCCGCGCCCTTCTCTGTAGCCTTAACGCTATTCTTGAAAGTTAATACGATGGTTTTCATTTGTAGTGCTTGAGTTGTGAATGGAGCCTACGCCATCCCCTCACAACACTTTTTGAGTAAACTTAAGTTTGTGGGAGTCCTCCCCGTGCTCCTCTGTTCTGGTCAGCCTGCGAGTGTGTGCACGAGACACCAGCATTTTACAACAAGGATATTCTGGACCAAAAATATGTCAGCTCAAATCATAAGCGGGAAAGAGGTTTCAGCGTAAGTAACAGACTTTATCCTGCTTCTTTATTGCGGCATATAGAGCCAAATAGGTGTAAACAGCGTGACGAAACGTGTGTGTGTGCTGGCTAACTAGGCTGCTAACTAGTTAAGTTAACGGTATTAAAAGGTAAAGTTAACGTCACTTCAGTCATACAAAAACGACTCTGTGGGACCCTTATGCATGTTTAACATACATATGTTATATATTTATATTGTATTTTCTTGTCAGTGTTTGCAGCACATCATTCTTTCTTAATTTAGTTGTATTGGTTGCACATTATGCTGTCCACGTGAATGAAGTGTGCCCCAACAGTTACTATACATCCAGCTTCTAAAACACAGTGGACTCTTTCTCAAGTTGAATGGTATATTTATTTACTGAAAGTAAATAGATAAGTCTCATTGTGTTAATACTAAATGTACTGACATGTGACTGTCACTTGTGTAATTTGGTGGTATTACATCAAGTCAGATCATTGAAAACTTCAATGGTTGCAAATCCTGCAGCATTATATAAGAAGCTGTGTGATATGATCTTTGCCCTGTAGGTACAGTGACTTCAGGTGATGGCAAACACCCTTCATGAAAACCTAACTTTTTCAGCAAATTCGTTTTCCTCACTGTTTTATTATTTGAGTGTAATTTTCACAATATTTTCTTATATTTGTATTAGTTTTCAGTTTTAATGAATTGCTTACCATGCACAGTTTAGGATAGGGTTTTTGGCAAAGAGAATACACATTTAATTGAGTTGCATGTGCTTGTCACAAGACGTAACAGCCTGCACCCTGTTAAAAGCCCCTCACAGTACTCATTCGTTTAATTAAATTCACAGATCTGACATGCATTCAGTTGGAGGCTTTACATTCATTATTTGTGAAGCTTGACAAAAGCTGACCATTGATTGTTCTCTAGTCTAGACCTTTATGGACTTTGGTTTTATTTCAGGAAATGAAATGTTCTACTATGCTTACGTGAGGTCTTTAAGGAAGTACAATTGGCACGGGCCACAATCAAAGCCCAGCAGTACTGTATATTGTATGAGTGTTACAGGAATATGGCCCTAGTTGATCAGTGACCTGTGATAAAGATATCTACTGTTGTATATAAAATAAGGACTGTTGTTATGATGCAATCATGTATACTATTGCTATATGTGAAGTCTTAGAATTAGACATTTATATGTTTAGCCCTTAATTACTCCAACCTCCTTTTTGTGAATAAATGAAAAGCAACATAGGGCAGGTTATATGTGAAATATTGTCCTTAAAGAACAAACTTTCAAAAGTAGGTATTTGATATATATGGCTTGCACATACATGTCGATTCAAATGTGTATTTTGTCCAAAGTGCCATTTGCTTTAAAGTGCCTGATGTTTTGAAGACATTAAGATCATCAGGTTATGTGGGCCCTTTGGATGAAGATTACAAACACAAAACACACATTTTGTACGGTCATAGGGGCAAAAACACTCAAAGGTAACTTCAAATGTATTTCAAAGTGGTGTCACTCCACTTTGTCATGCATCCTTCATCAATGGTAATCACATGGTGTATTCTACCATGACTGCCAATGAAGGTCATGTGATGCACAAATACACTGTTTAATCTGAGTCTGTTTCTTTGGTAAGAGTTTAAAATGTGATCATCTGTCTATCTCCGGAGCTTCTTGAGCAACACCGTGGATGAAGAAAAACAAAAAATGCTGTCAGTTTTAAGCTTTATACTGACACGCTAGATCTTATAATGGATTGTAATGTAAAGTTAAAGACCAGTATCTTTGTGTCACTGCTGTCTCTGATTGTTTTAGTTGACTTGAGTTAATCTACTGTACAAGTTGAGTGGACAACAGATAAAGACAAATACCAAAGATAAGATTCTCATTCTCCTCTGATGACCTGGCACCGGAGATTGAAGGCATATTGAAAAATGATGTCACTAAATAAGAGATTAACAAGCTTTTATTCTGTTGTCTTTCTTTCTCAGGAAGGTGAGGGAAGGTCTGAAGAAGGATGTGGAGCAGATGAAGCTTCAGGACCCAAACTTCAAACCCGGTCTGGTGGTTTTACAGGTAAGTGTACATTTGAAACAGGAACCTGTATTATTTTATATTCTACTTTTGTAAGTTACTCATGTATCTATATGGATGTCGTTTGCAGGTTGGGGACCGCGATGATTCAAATCTGTACATCAGCATGAAGTTAAAGGCTGCAGCAGAGGTACAACATTTATTTACACATAGTTCGTACACCACACATTTTCTACAAACTGTTTGCAATCAGTCCCAACTTCGGGTCTAATCTCTGCTTCTGTGAACACAGATCGGAATAAACGCTACACACATGAAACTGCCCAAGACTGCAACGGAGGAGGAGGTGAGAGTGGATTTGAAGTATTATTGTATCCCAGGTTTTTATTTGACTGTATACACAGTGTTAATATGCAACTAGTAACTGTGTTGGAGTCACATTATGAAATAACAAAATCAATGTAATTGTAATTGGATATGGTAACTGGGTAATATAAAAAGATATACATGTTTTAACAGGGTAACTACGTTTTAAATTTCAAAAGTTGACTTCCAAACACGGTCACACTCACAGTAAGACACTTGACTGTATTCAAAGATGTAAAACATGAGATAGTCAACATGATTTTCAGTGCAGTGACATTGGCGCAAAGTTTAACATTTTAAGGAGGCCTTAGGTGCTATAACAAAATATGGATAGTAAGATTAATTGTTAAATGACAGGAGAAGGACATGGGATTGTAAAGGCTGTCTGTCTGTCTGTCTGTCTGTAGGTTCTTCACAGCATCACAGAGGTGAACGAGAACTCTTCTATCCACGGCCTCATCGTGCAGCTGCCCTTAGACTCAATCCACAAGATGGACACGGAGAAGGTCACCAACGCCGTGGCCCCAGAGAAGGACGTAGACGGGTAGGCACATACTTAACTAAAGATCAGGGTTTTATTTTAGGGTTTGCTTATTGGTGCTTATTTGCTTCCATTGAGTTTAGTTGAAATAATGAAAATCTCTCAACTATTGGAGAGCTTTAATTTGCAATGTTCAATGTCTTCGGATCCATTCTCAGGCTGACCAGCATCAATGCGGGGAAGCTGTCACGCGGGGACTTGGGCGACTGCTTCATCCCCTGCACACCAAACGGCTGCATGGAGTTGATCAGACAAACCGGTAAACACAACTTCATGCACCCCTTTAAACAATACAAATAATCTGGGCCGTGAAAATATACGACGAACAATCGAATAAGTCCAGAAGTAATGTATCCATCTCCTCTCTACAGGTGTGTCTGTGGCAGGGAAGAAAGCCGTAGTGGTTGGTCGCAGCAAGATTGTGGGCGCACCGATGCACGACCTGCTGCTGTGGAACCACGCCACCGTCACCACCTGCCACTCTAAAACCACTGATCTCCCTGGAGAGGTAGACACGCCTTCATCCAACACAGGAATAAAGTCATTAGCAACAGAGCATATAATGCAACTGATCATTGTTGTTGTTGAAACTTCATAAACAATACATTCGTCATGACATGCTGGGAGTAACCGACCTATGCTGCCATCGTGTGGTGTAAAACAATACTGCATGTTTTGCTAGTCTTTAATTGTTTTATTTCTATAAACTCTCATAAATGTAATTCCCACCAGGCTTAGTTTTATCTGTATCAATGCCACTCTTTTATGTATTGAAGACTCTCTTATGTAAATCTCTGTTTTCCTTGTCCAGGTGGGCAGAGCAGACATCTTGGTTGTGGGCATCGGGAAAGCAGAGATGGTGAAAGGAGAGTGGATCAAGAAGGGAGCAGTGGTCATCGACTGTGGCATCAACCATGTCCCAGGTTCCACTCCAAGTTTCATTCTGCTTTAAAGCATTGGACTGTGGAGTTTAATCCCTGAATCAAGTGATTGCATTTACTTATAAAGTTTCCCTCTGTGTTTTCAGATGAGACTAAAGCCAGCGGTAAGCGGGTGGTGGGTGATGTCCACTACGCCTCAGCCAAGGAGCAGGCCGGCTTCATCACCCCTGTGCCGGGGGGGGTGGGACCCATGACTGTGGCCATGCTGATGGCGGTAAGCTCCATCTCATGGTGGCATTAAAGGACATTTTGTTGTTATCCTTTCTATCATGACTTATTTAGTTTCAACACAGCAAGTAAAGGACATTTCAATGTATTATTTATTTAGTTCTGTAGTCACATGTAACCTGGATTTTGAAAGAATGACTGTTTCTTTGTTTCTAGAACACCGTGTTGAGTGCGAAGCGCTTCTTGGACAGCCACCAACCAGGGAAGTGGAACATTACTTACACCAAACTCAACCTTCAGAAGCCTGTGCCAAGGTTTGTTCCATAATCTTCCTCATTCTGTCATTCACATGCTCTGTTAACTTGTCACAGAAGGATCGATTACATTTGGTAAACCACTTGTTGCTGTTTCCTCTTTATGTTGAGATCAAAAAGTGGTTTTGTGTCTTGTTTTAATAACTCCAAACAGCGACATTGTGATTTCTCGCTCCTGCGTGCCCAAGC